CCCACTCTACACAAACACAAACAGTTTGACAGTCATTACCCCAGTGAAGAAGAAACGTGGCCGGCCCAAAAAACAGCCGTTACTTACTGTGGAGACGATTCACGAAGGAACTGCAACAAGCCCTGTTAGCCCTATTGCCCAAAATTCATCCAGCACTTCAAAAAGGAGAAAGAAGCATAACATGTCAAAATTGGTGCAGTTGGCCTTCAACAAATCCCCTCCGGCACAGCAGTTAAAACTCAAGAAATCAGGTCAAGAAGGTGTCCTTAAAAAGAGGGCACCTAAGAAAATGAAACTGGTCAAGATGCAAAGCATTTTGAATGAACTTTTGACCACTTCTAGTCCTGGCAATCTTGCCTTGAAGTCCAGTGTTCCGGTTTCAAATGCCATGTCGACTGTGGCATCGACAATCGAGGCCCGTTTTGGCAAGCAAATCAATGTCAGCAAGCGTGGGACTATTTACATAGGCAAAAAGCGGGGAAGGAAGCCCAGAATTGATCTTCATACCCAGCAAAATGAGCACAAAGCCAGTGATAAGCACCCATTGCCTATTTCTAGTCCATTTGAGAACCCACTAGTGCCTTCTAACATATCATCCACAACCGGAATGCCTTCTCCCAGGGTCATGCATTCCCTTTCTTCTCCCTCTGCAGCAGGTGGGACGGTTCACCCTGCCACCACGGATACCAGCCAGCATGACCTGAAGACAATGCCAAATCTACAACCTATCAGTGCATTGCCCACGAAAATGTACAAGGGCTTGCTTAGTAGTAACTGGAAGCTGTCTCCCCCAAGACTAATGGCCAACTCACCATCCCACCTATCCGAAGTGGCTTCCATTAAAGAAGTCACCCTATCTCCAGTTAGCGAGTCCCACAGTGAAGAGACAATCCCTAGCGATAGTGGAATAGGCACCGACAACAACAGCACATCAGACCAGACCGAGAAAGGCCCGGTATCCCGCCGGAGATACTCATTTGATCTTTGCAGTTTTGATGCCACTGAGACCGCTGTTTTAGAGGCAAAAAGCAAAGCAGCGAGGGGGCACTTCCAGAAGTGTGTGACTGGAGTCGCTGTGGAAAATTTCTTTGCTCAGGAGAGCCTGA